CATTTTTTAATATTTTTAATAGTGAGTAATTATTTTTATTATTTAAACATGTTATTTATTAATTATTAATTATTTTTGTAATTATTATGTATTTAATTATTTTTTATTTGTGTTTCAATATTATTATAACTATTAATTTTTATTAAATTTTAATCATTTTTTATTATTTTTTTAATAGTGAGTAATTATTTTTTGTTATTTAAACATGTTATTTATTAATTATTAATTATTTTTGGTAATTATTATGTATTTAATTATTTTTATTATTTTTTAGTAGTGAGTAATTATTTTTTATTAATTTAATTACGTTATTTATTATTTATTATTTATTTTTCGTAGTTATTATGTATTTAATCATTTTTATTATTCTTTAGTAGTGATTAATTGTTTTTTATTATTTTAATTATGTTATTTATTATTTATTAATTATTTTTCGTAGTTATTATGTATTTAATTATTTTTTATTTGCATTGGTTCAATATTAGTATAATTATTAATTTTTATTAATTTTTAATCATTTTTATTATTTTTTAATAGTGAGTAATTATTTTTTATTAATTTAATTACGTTATTTATTGATTATTAATTATTTTTCATAATTATTATATATTTTATTAATTTTATTGTATGATTTTAATATTATTTTGAATTTGATAAATCTTTTTATATGAGATAATACAAATTGAGTTCAAATTTACCAAATAGTATTTTCTAGGGGCAAAATAGTAAAAACATGGTATTTCAGATGTTAAGAGTTTGGTCCAACACAAACATGCCAAAGTATTCAGAGCCTCTGAAAAGTAGAAAAGTATCAATGCCTGCCTCTTTTCAGATTTCAAACAGTTTTAATAGCCTTTTAACTTTTTAGACTTTAGATTTCAGATTTATCAAACGCCACCTTAATCAACTTTCACTAATAAGTGTTTGTTTTGCAATTTAAAGTAGTAAGATGATCACCTAAACTGAATGGAAAATGTTGAAGAGCAAGGGCCCATGATTGTTTATTCTAAAATTATTCCTTAAGGTTTTGTTTGGTTTGAAGGAAAAAGTAGGGAAATGTAAGGAAACCTTTACAAACCAAACATTGCCTAAACTTCTTCATACAGAAAATAAAATTATACAAATGGAGCCAAATAGAGTGGTTGCTTGTGTCTTATTAGGGGCAAAAATGATACTTTTATTTTTATTTTCTTTTGATTAAATTTATTCAAATGGACGTTAAAGTCAAAACTGTCATTTTTCACTGTCATCTAATGAAACATCAATTAAGTAAATGAATCCTAAATTATTGGGAGTGTTTTAATAAAAAAATTATAAGATAAATTTTAGCAAATCCATAAAAATTTAGGGAGTGTTTCAATGACCCTTTATTTATTTATTTATTTATTTTTGATGGGTGATATAACTCTCTATTTACATGCTAAAATATTTTACATCTTTTAATCAGACAAAAAGATGAGTGTGGAAAGTGGTTTCTCTGTCTATGTACCCCTAGCTTGATTTCATTAAATTCTTTGCATCGTGTAGGAACGTGTTATTCTTTTGTGAATTTGAAAGCCTACGATTTACTTATACCTCTCGTTGGGCGAACTGCAAATACTAGTAGAAATGTTGTACCACAAGAAGTTGTGGGAAGAGGAAAGGCCCAAGAACATTTTGTGTTGGTTATGGTGTAATTTTATGCTTATTTTACCTTTTACCACTTTAACTTTGTACCTATACCTCTCTTTAACTTTCTATACTATTTTGTTTTCTTAGCTTATTTCAATATTCTTTGTTGTTTTGTGCTAGGCACCGAACTTTCACCTACATGAAGAAGGTAGTGTCCATGATTCTTGTTTAGTTTTCTCTTTATCTTCTTTGCCCGTGTTTAGCACGGGCCTTTGTGCTAGTTTATGTGCACATTAAGATATCTGCTCTTTGCGTGTCTAGATATTGATTTCCTTTTTTTTTCTTCCTAATTTCGTGTCTTCTCTTTGGTTCAGAATGTTCTTTTTTTGCTGATGACAATTTTGACAAATAAATGAATTGCTTCCTTTGCTCAAACGTAAGAGTTCATCATTTCGTTGTCACCTTGTTGTTAAATAACCAGTCCCCACTCCCTTATTTGTAGGGGTGTCACTGGATTTGGTCCAATCCGATCCAGTCCAATGAGTCCATTATAAATGGACTAGGTCCAATCTAATCCAATGAATATTTTTGACTAATTTGGACCGGTCCAATTCAATGTTTGGACTGTTCAATTTATTCAAATTCATTTTAATTTAGATTGGTTTTAACCTAAACTCGGTCCATTAACACATATATTCTTATCTTATATCAACGGACCTGATATTGACTTAATCCAACCCAATTCAATCTAATATTTTGGACCAGATCCAATCCAATCTAATAAATATTTTAGACCAAATTAATCCAATCCAATATATTTTGTTGGTCTGTTCAATCCGTTTAAATTAATTTAGAACTGAAACGGAGTCCAATCCAAAACCGGCCCATTGACACCCTTATTTTGACATTCCGCACTCCGCAGCGCTTCATTGATTGAAATGTTGAACAGGTCAATAGCAGTTTGCTCGGTTTACATTTATCTATATCTCATGAAATACAGATCTTATCAATGAGTCGAGCTTAGGAAATTTAATTATCATTCCTTTGCCTAGTCAATCAATGCATGGGTTCTCATTGGTGGAAACCATTTAGGAGATATCCCGCCCCAAGAGTGAAAAGACTGTCCATAAGGCATCCATTGAAAACACTCAATTATCATTTCTTCATAATTGATTGTTCACTTGAGCTGCATTTGTAATCGATGTAAAACATTATCGGTGTAAAAGTATATTGATAATATTTTACATAGAATCGTAAAATGTAACTGTTTGAGTTTCGAAAAACATGACGAGAAAAGCGTAGAGTTTTATATTAATTTTATCGATATAGTATTTACATTGATAATCGATATAGAACTATGCTTTAGATGAAATTTTACATCAATTTACGATGTAAAATTCTACTCCATTCAAACTTTGACAAAACCAAGCCGGAATAGAAATTTATATCGATCTTGATTTACATTCTTTTCAAATTCCAACGAAACCGAACCGACATAAATATTTATATTGATTTTCATTTACATCACTTCCAAACGAAACCTTAAAGCTTAGATGCACCCTTCTTGCCCTGCACTTAAGAGTGGCATTCTTTTCGGTTTCTCTGTTTATGAATTACCAAACGGTCCAAACCAATGTAATGAAAGGTTTTACATTGAAGAATTTAGTTTCCAATTTTCTTTTGCAAGTTCACTTTAATTAGATTCCTGGAAAATGAAGAACAGAACAATGTAAAGTTTTGTTTCATTAGTTAAGAGTTTCAGTATTGCATTCCTACAAGTAGGTAGTAGGATACTCCTAATTATTAGTAGCCATGGTAGAAATAATCAAATAAACTAGTATTTATCAGAGGTTAGTAATCATTATCTTTTTAGAAGACCGATTAACAAATTAAGTTTACTTCTGATGCCGAGTCTGTCCATTCACTGTTATAATAGTAAAACCAACTTCCTTTTGCTCCACTGGATAATTTTCCCAAAATAATACATACTTGCTGTTCGTAAAAACCATGCGGTGAGCGTGGATCGAACACGCGACCTTCAGATCTTCAGTCTGACGCTCTCCCAACTGAGCTATCCCCGCCTGAGATAATGGCGTCGCCCGGACTCGAACCGGAGACCTTCAGTGTGTTAGACTGACGTGATAACCAACTACACCACGACACCTTTGATGCACTGCTAAACCAGCGATATCTTAATGAAGTTAATTTTCCTTAAAATAAAATAACGCTTTTTTGGGAAGCTCATTTTAGGCTGATTTTAGAAAGTTCAAAATAAAACTTTTCACATCGCATTTTATTCTTGCGTGGAAAGATACAGGAAGATGCATGAAAAGACATGCCTGCTAAATGTTGTTTAGGCTGCTTAGATTTTCCTACAAAAATTCAATGCATCTTTTGCATGTATGAACTACGAAAGATGCACCAAATGGACCCTGAATTAGGACCAATGAAGTCTATATATGTGTATGCTTTCAAAAGCAGGTAGAACCGTTTACTTGTCATGTTGATTGAAGATGTGACACATAGACATCCACGTGGCCTAGACCTTTTACACCATGAATATCGGGGGATTTGAAAACCTTTGACTCCCTGTTTAGCTTTTACTCCCCTTAATTAGAGGTGACGGCGTGACGCCCGCTTGGTTGAAGAATTCAGAAGACATGGGCTAATGAACCAACTCAAACTGTATTTTGTATTTTGGGTCTAAAAATTCTGATTTTATATTGAACCGTTATTTTTTCTTTTTTGATAAAATTAATTCACAGGTTCAGATGTTCGATCAGGATTATATTGATCTTTTGCTATTTATCTATAAAAAAAAACTGATTCTTTAAATTCCCAGAAGAAGCGACAAGGATTAATTGACGATGAATTTCATCTGATAATTTGTTATATATTTAGACATACAAGGTCTGATCCACCATCATTTTCAGTTTTTTCACGCGCATCTCTATTGATCCCAGAATCCAGAAGGTTGGCAGAATTTTATAAGTTTCAGCTACCAACCATATAAAGAATAGATCCATCTATATTGGAGGACCCGTTCATTCGGGATTTTCTCTACCCGTTCTCTATTCATGTGAATTGGAGCCATATATTTTATTTTGATTTGAAAGATCTGTGACTGCAATTCAATTCACTGCGGATAGAAAATGTATAAGAAAAGTGAACAGAAAATCTGAGCTCGGACACTTCACCCGCTTATTGTTTGAACTCTGAAGACAAATTAAAACTATTTATGGCGTATTCACTTCACATGCACTTTATTGCATATTATATTACATAATTTGACTCGTCTTTACCTTGGTCTTATTATTAATTATCTTATCATCTTAAACTTGCTTTAATTCTCACAGCACAGGAAGAAGAAAGAAAATCAACACAAATCGTAAATCTTAAAATTTGCGGGTGAATACTCTTTTCGTTTTTTTTTTTTGTTTTTTCCTTTATATAAGAATGAGGATACATACACATAGAGGTGGCTTGGCGCGGAGCTTCTTGATTCATCTGCCACCGTAAAAAAACCAATTTGTAGAAAGAAAGAAAACAACTCTCCTATACAATCTGCAGTTTAATTTGGTTCTAGTAAGAAGCAAAAAAAGATGGAGTACGGGAGAGCTTGTGCTCCCCTAATTGTAGTTGTAATTGGTGAAGCTTTGCGAAAATTCCAACCAAGGGAGCAGTATTGTAAGTGCAGGCTTCGGTCTGCATGTAATTACCCCTTTGGTCCCTAAAATTATCTTGCCAATCGGGCCCACCAACTAGGGCCCCCACCACGATGTTGGGGTTTGGTTCATCCCGTCCATACCAGTTGTCATAACCTTGTGTGCACCCAATGAACCCTTTGTTCTCTCTGTATGATACAATAGAAGCCCCTCTGTGGTGTACCCTCCGGGGAGACTTTGGGCCGTAACCCACCAAGTAGCTCATGCCCATTGGGTTGGAGCCCAAGATGTAATCCACTTGGGACTTGGCATATTTGAGTATCTCTTGGTGCTCCACTTCTCCTGCCGGGCAGCTGAGCTTTTGGCCCGAGTGTTTCAGATAGTCGGAGTAAACGGTGAGAAGGAACGCTGCCGTCGACACATACTGCATGTTGTTCCATTGACGGATATACAGAAGCCCTCCCGGCGTGCGGTCGACGTTGGCCGATATGGTCTTGTTTAGGCAGGCACAGAGATAATATTCAGCTTTGGAGCGATACTGTTCCAGTACGTGAGAATGCTCCTTGTGTTCGTGTCTTCCTTCCATCAGCAGCTGCACGGAAGAAATAATGCTTCAGAAATCAGAATTATGACACACCCCTTCCTTAGTGAAAGCTCCTATTGTAACTATTTTTCTGGGTTTGATCCCTCTCGCATAACTAAATCCCTGTTTTGCATTAAATAATTGGTGATATTAAATATTAATTGTACAATTCTCTGCAATGCATCGAACATGTGGAATGCGAACCAGATGAAAAATCTATAAACTATTCTATAGTAGAAAATGGATAATAATATCGGTAGATCTGTGGCGTTTTAACAGTTTAAAGAGGAAAAAAACAAACTTTTGCGGGAATAAGTACAAGATTGGGTGGTCTCAATCATAGATCTCGAAGGCGAAAGCGTGGGACACCTGCGATCGTAAGGACGGGTGGAGGCACCAGACTCCACAGTCCAGACACTCCATTAATCCTTGATAAAGATTTCTCTTGGGTTTATTAAACAGGGACTATGGACCTCTTTTTTCACCATAAAAAAAAAAAAAAGTTCAAAACTGAATCTGAATGATTTTAGAAAGAGATGAAAGTGATGCATGTGCCACCAAAATTACCATACAACAAATTCCAATTCAAAAATGCTCCATCCCACTGCTCGTACAAGCTGGAGCTGGATTCAAAGCGGGACCCACTTGAAAGTTGAATCCTCCGGTTAATTAGGACTTACTTAAGGTATAAATTCTTCGAAAAAGTAAAAGCGCAATTAAAAGGGGCTCTGAATGATTCTTGTCAATTAAACATTAACCAAAAAAGAAGAGAAGAAGAGAGGAGGAAGCAGCAGCCAGCAGAAGAGAAAACCATAACCAGACCAGGTTTCAGGTTTCAGGTTTGGTTTGAGAGTGGAAGGGTTTACCTTTGAAGCAATGATCTGAACACCAGCGTACTTAACGTCCCAACTGAACTCGGTAATGGCCCAACCGATCCCACCAAAGCAATGAGCATTGTTGATAACGTATTTGAGATAATCAACCCTGTCGGTGGCTTTGTAAAGCCACAAAGCAGCCCACAACAGCTCGTCTTTGTAACCGCTCACCGACGTGTAGTAGTTCTTCACCACTCCAATACTGCTATCGTACTTTCCTCTGTATTTGTCACCAAATTCAAACAACTGCAGAAAAGGGCAAAATAAGCAACTTCCTCTGGATTTAACAACAACTCCACTAAATTTGGCGGATTAACATGTGCTCTTTGTATCCATCTCCCTCACCTGTTGGGCATGATGTAGGAGCAGGTGAGAATAATGTGGGTTAGCTTTCCGGAACACGATTGATGCGGCAGCCATGGCTGCTGCTGTCTCACCGGCTAGATCCGACCCCGTGTTGTTCTCGTCGATCTTGTATGCTTGTCGCGATGTCGTCATATCCTCCGGCCGTTGCCAACAGTAGTGGTCGGTGTCCCCGTCCCCTACCTGATCATTTTCATATACTCTGCTATGAGAATTCCGATCGTAACGGGTAGAGAATTTCTGGTATTTTGCTTTCTGGGAGCAATGCAGATTGAGATTACCTCGCCCCATAAAACGTTTGGGCTAGTGTGGGCTTTAATAAAATAATCGGTGCCCCATTTGATCGCCTCGAGTGCGTGCTCGTACTCCCCCGCTGCCGCGATCTGCTCGCCGTATTCTATGACACCCCACGAGAGCATTGTTACAGTGAATGCCATCGGAAGTCCGAATTTGACGTGGTCACCGGCGTCGTAGTACCCTCCGACTAAGTCCACCTGTAATCAAGATTTCGGGCATAATTTCAATGACATTACATTCACATAGAGAATTGAACGATTTGGGCAGGATGGATAAAGGAACTAACTCCTTGTTCTAAGCCGTCGGTGAGGCCGGAATGGTCCCGCCATGTGACACGCTGATTGTAGGGTAATCGGCCTGAACGTTGGGACTCGAAGTAGAGCAGACTTTTTGCGAGCGCGTCGCCATAATCAAAAGCTTGAGCTGTGGCAAGTAGTGCTAAGGTGAAGATTACAAGATACCAATGGTGTAGAAATCTCGGGAATTCATATTGCCTTCGCTTCTCCATCGCCCCTTCCCTCCAAAAACTGCTAGAGCTCAGAAGGGGAGGGAGAATGAAGCCTCTTCTCTCGCACCTCTCTCTGCGTCTCTGTCTTTCGGACCTCTCTCTCTCTCTGGCTATGTGCCCCTCACATGAAAACGCTTTCCTATGAATTGGTCTTAAGTCTTAAATGGAATTAGTGCGCGTATTCTTATAGCTGTGACTGCGATTAAATTTAATTTGATAAGTTTGAAAATTGGCGTGCGGTTTGATTTGGCTACTACTTTTCAGAGACTTGGCGTGGCTTGGAGGATTTTGGAGGCTTGTAGCTCAGACTGCTCTGGGTTAGTTTGACTCTCTAGTCTCTACATACATTTCTCCAGCTTATGGACGGTAGAGATTGAGCTCTGCTCAATTGTTGTTTCTCGGTCATTGATGGTTCAAATTTTGTTTTATTTGTTTCTTTATGTGAAATTGGATTGATTATAATTCTCTCAGTAATTTCATAATTAAGTTACTAGCTAGGTAGGAAGCAAGGCTGTCTAAATAAATTTGTGGCAGTTTGTTAGACTGAAAGATCAAAATCCCTAAATTTGGTTAAAATCAATTGAGAATTGATGGCTCAATTTGGAAAGAGAATAAATACAAACTGGTTTAAAAATATAAAATATAATGCTTTGCACTGTATGTACATATATATTTATATCTACTCTTTCCAAACTGAGCCTAAATATTATCCTAAGAGGCAAAAGTCAACAAAAATTCCTGCAATCAGCAATCACGGTATTGAATCGTATGAACTCTAGTGTTGAAGTTCAACCGGAGAATACTTATCTTTTACAGATCTCCTTTAATAATGATGTGTGAGAGAGGCCCAGCTCCAAAGCAAACAAGTTATCGGCTCTAAGACAGGAATTTCTTAGAGCTGATAAATTGTTGTTTAAGCCTTTAAGGTCTGAAGTGAACAATTCATTCCGTCTTCTCAGAGAAATAATTCTAAAAACCGTTTAAGTTGGGTTTAATTTGGAGGAGAAAGTAGAGAAGGGGAATTCACATCTATGCCCCACAATGTCCTATAGTACATCCCTGTTGTGTATTGAAAATATCTTCTGATGATGTACTAAAAATGATGATATCATTATCCAGAAAAATTCTCAATACACGGCGGAAATGTGCTGTGAAACGTTGTGGGGTGCCCCTTTGTGGGGCACAGATCTGAACTCAGAGAAAGGAAGGAGAAGGTAGGAAAATCTTTACAAACCTTATATAAATTCCCACCTTTTCCTTCAGTATTCTCGGATGTAAGTTTTATTGTCATCATTATTATGATTTTATGAGTTTCAAAAACAAAACATAATCTTGGTTTGGAAATACACGGAAAACATATTTGAAACCAAAAATTAGCTATTCAGGGGGAGGGGGTGTTTGTCAATATATATGACTTTGGTAGTTTAGTATTATGCTTCGAAAAGTTTACAATATTTATATACTCTAGTCTCTAATCTAATCTAATGAATATTCATTCACCCTTCTTGTTTTTAATATACTATATATTGACCCTTGATATGATTCACAGAAACTTTGAACATGTACTCGTAAGAATATGTTTAACTGATTTTGAGCAATTAATGTACCACAACCAAATAGTAACCCATATCAATCAGGAAAAATTAATATCTTACGATATCTGGCATTTGGTTGCACATAAAATGAATGCGGAAAATGAAATATTTTCCAAAAATAAAAAAAGTCAGATCTATTTGAAGGGAAGTGAATAGTTGATATTTCTTTAAATCGAGGCCGCTCTTCTTATATCTTTCAAATATATTTCTCTATTAATCAGATATTTATTTGTGAAATTTAACAAAACACCAGCAAAATTAAGAAGGTAATTTATTTCCTTACCACGATAACCATTTCATATTCCTTCACTTTGTGTGCAACCACACACAGCCCTACTGAATTAATATCAATGGGCACTATACTATAAGATATATGTTAAATTTGGTAATTGAATGTATTGGAATAATAAAATGCCTTTTTCCTTTTTTTTTTTTTGGTATTTGGTGTCAGGCGCCATTGATAATTTCCCCTTAACCTCCTTTTTCTTCTGTTCTTTGTTTGCCGGTATATCATTTTTTAGGACTGATATAATCATCTCCATCATCTCATCCTTGTCCAAAGTATACAATGTGGGTTAGTATTCCATTTTGTGATTCTGTTCTTTTTAGTGTCATATTCATCGTTTAAATTATGGGTGCTTAAATCATTTCTTATTATTTCTACAGTTTCATTCAAGTCTTTTTTTCGGTCTCTCATTAATTCTTCTAGCCCCCTTCAATTATGCCATATCACATTATCACTTTTGATCCGTATGCCCCCACTATTCTTTCCTTACAACTAGGGTAATCTTAATCTGCTGGAACCTTTGGGTTCAAACTTTAAATAATACTTTTGTACAGCTAAGTGTGGTAGAGAAGATCAACAAGAATAATATTTTTGGATGCATCCAGACTCCAGATATATGTATTATTCTTTTTCTCTTTGAAGAAAACCTGTGGCAATTCATTCTGATTCCATTCAACTAGGGGTGTCAATCGACCGGTTTTCGATTGGATTCAATTCGATCTAAATCTTATCAAATCGGATTTAGATGATCCGTTATAATTATTGGATTGGTCCAATCCAAAATAAATCGGTCCATATTCTTATTGGTTTGAATTGGATCTAAATCAAATTTTCAATAATCCGATCATGATGCCAAACCCTTGTCAAATTTGAAATCAATCAAAACTGGAGCCGACATAAAATCACTTTTATGAAAGTAATTTTATGAAAACGCTTTTATGAAAGCACTTTTATACGTACAAAAGAATTTTTATGGAAGTAATTTTATAAAAGCACTTTTATGAAAGTACTTTTACAAAAGCGCTTTATGAAAGAACTTTTACAAAGCACTTTTATAAAAGCATTTTTATAAAAACACTTTTACGAAAGCACTTTTATAAAAGCACTTCTATGAAAAGTACTTTTATGAAAACATTTTTATAAAAGCACTTTTACGAAACCACTTTTATAAAAGCACTTCTATGAAAGTACTTTTACAGAAGCACTTATACGAAAATACTTTTACAAAAGAACTTTTACAAAAATGCTTTTTCAATGCCAAAAGTGTATATTTTTGTAATTTTCAGATTTTCTTTATTTTAATATATTTTTTATAATTTTTTATATACTTTGTATTTTTATATAATTTTTGATATTTCATTCAGTTTGGATTGGATGCAATCTAGTCTATTTACATTTTAATAAATTGAATTGAATTTAGTTTGTATTGAATTTAGACTAGATTAGGTCCAATCCACTTATAAGTGGACTCACATTAGACTGGATCGGATTGGACCAAATCCAGTCCAATTGACACCTCTACATTCAACAACTTACTCATTAGAAATGTAGTACAGTCTCTTAACAACGGAAGTCAATAAAAAATATATATAAAGAAATTAAGACCAAGTTTTAATCCTTGAAAGGGAAAGAGAAGCTTTCACAACGTTGTTAGCAGTCAAATTAGCTTCTCTAGCGATGTCTATGTGTCTCTTCCTTTGTCACCTAGACGAGCCTGTAACATTAGCTCAGTATGGTTGTGTTTACATGGGTGAATCACTAATCTCAGCTACATCGTCCACCTTTCTTGCAAGGTGGGGCGAAATCCATGTTCTACCCCTTGGTTTGGTGCCATGTGGCAACTTCTGAATGGTGGCCAATATTGGCTGTATTAATAACAAATCAGGTTGTTTTCATCAAAATTTTTAGGTTCTGGCATCATATTTACCCCTTTGAAAATCAAAACTAGTCCAAGGTCTAATAGTGATTGTTTGGGAGGGTTTTCATGCAATGAATTTTTTACAATTGGATCCCACACAGATAACTTTATAAACAATGTTTGGTAAAAAAACTCGGAGAATGCATGAAAAATGATTATTTGAAAGCCATACATGGCTTTATGGTGAAGCTTCTTTTGGTGGCTTATCCAAACCAGCTTAGTGAAGTGACCCCTTTGACTCTTTGAGAGGACTGAGTTGAATATTCTTCTAAGCTGAGTCAACTGTTTTGAAGCGTTTTGGGTACGTTATTCAAAAATGCTGAAATATTAGCAGACAGTCCTTTAAGGCTATGTTTGGTTTGAAGGAAAAGATAAGGAAAGAAAGGGAAAGACAAGAAAAATTTATACAAGATTTGTAAAAGTTTTCTTATCTTTTCCTTCCTTTTCCTTTTTTTTCTTCAAACCAAATATAACGTAAATTATTGATTGAGAATTTATTTGTGTTTTCTGGATTTTTCCATCGAATTAAGGATGTAAATCGGGCCCAACACTATTTTGGACTTTGGCTTCGGGTTGGGCCATTGGAATTTTGACAAAATCCCAATCCTAACCCACAAAAATCGCACCCGTACACCGAACATAGCTTATACACTGTACAAAGAGGCCCACCAGGGCAAATCAGAAGCCGCTGCGCTTCAACCCTTCCAAATCAAATGGGCGCGAAAGCAGCTCAACCAACGCTTCGGCCCTGACCCCTCCCAAACGGGCCATGAATAAGTTTAACTTGAGCCGAAGAACACGGCTTGGCTCGAAGAAGCCGTAACTGAAGCGGCTATTGTTGTGAGTTGTGACTAATGCCGAAAACGTAATTAAAAGATGATTAATAGTGGGCGTTGATCACGCCCACCATTTTCCCGTCCCGTTGCCTACTTGCCTCGTCAGTCTTGCATTTGTCGGTGCTCCAAGTTCCAACCCAAGTCCCACCGTGAAAGTCCCCATCGGACCACGCACGGCTCTATGCCCAACTGCCCATGCCCACGGTCCCAATTCTTTGTGACTGGCCGTGCTATGTTAGACTGACTTGGCCGGTCGGTAGCACCCCAACTCTTAGTGGACCTGCTTGCTCCCCGGCCGACATTTCGGTGATTATTTCCTTTTTCTTTTTTTTTTTTTTTTAAGCCTGGCATTTCGGTGATTTCTTTCATTTTAAGATTAAAGGAAATAAAGTTCTTTTCAAATTTTAGAAAAAAGTGTTTTGACCAAAAGGATTAAAAGATGTCACATATGAGGAGAATAACCGTTCAAATTCAAATTTGAAGTCACTTTCTTTTTCAAATTCAAAAATGCCATCCTTCTTTTT